AAAACAATATCAATGGTCAATGGTCAATGATCATTTTTCTTAATCTTTTTTTTTTTTTTGTTTCACCTTCATTTTTTTTATTTCACAATGCAAAAGAAACCTCAGAAAAGGAACCCCACACAAACTCGTTTCTCTGTTCAGATTTTCTCAGGACTATTAATAGCTTTTCATTTATATGATATGACATGACATGTAATGCATAAACAAGTTAATACACAAGAAAACAAAAAAAAAATTTACATCAAAAAAAAAAACCTTTTATTTATAGATACTTTAAAATAAAGTTCATTATAAATTCGAATTTCCATTTAGAATTTCCTTTTTTTTACTATGAGAATTCCAAATAAGAATATTTGAAAAATTTAATAGAACATAACATAAAGTTGCATAGATGATGGTTACACATTTTGAAAAGGTATGTCGAGTCCCGATTATGTAAACGACAAAAAAAAAAAAATAATCGTTTAAAAATCCTTTTCAAATGTATCGCTTGTTTATAATTATCCGAGATTAAAAATATCAACGAAAATCAAAAAGTTATTTGCTTATTGTTTAACGTTTAAATTGGGAATTCGAAGTTTCACTCAAACACATGCTTAATTGACATCACCTGGTTCAATTACTCGTCAACGTCACATTTGATTAATGTTTTATTTTGGAAAATATTTATAAATATTGTTTTTTTTTAACAAACTGCATCTCATTGTTTGTTTGAATATTCAAATATTCACACTGAATGCTATATAATGCACGTGAACTGGAATTTGATTCTTGTTCTGAATTCCTCAAATAACATCAATTATCGGTTGTACTTTTTACCGGTTCTAAAACTTGTCGTGTGAAGAAGTGCCAAGACGCTACACAGATTTTTGTTTTCACATGAAGATTAAAGTCTGTTCTTTGATTTTTGGAAAACAAAGTAAGCATCTAATCAATAAATCTTGTATCCCCCCTTTTTTATTTAAATTGTATGTTTGTAATAAAAATCCTTTTCATTCGAAAACTTTTTTAACGGGAAAGATTACGACAATCACATGATCTATATGGCACGAACGCAAATGCCCCGTGTCTCGATCATTTTGGCCGAAATTAGACAAAGTAATTTTATAAATTTTTGGGGCGATGTAAAGTACATCTCGGGATGTTTGAAGATTTGAATGGCCCGATGAGTTGCATGTCGATGATTTCCATGCACTGTATGCAAAAGTATACAAAATATTCTACTCTAATAAAGATGACTTGGAGGTTGATTCGTGTCGAAAAATATGCCTCAGATGGTAAATGACACACCAGTTGGAGGCATGACCCATGACCGTTAGTAATCGTTTCGAACTTCATTTGGTACACGATTAAGATATCGAAGATCACACCACATGAACAACCTCTTGTAAAAATTTCGTTCCCGTTCCAAAGGTAATTTTCTCAAGATAAGGCTAAATTTTGTTCAGATATTGTTTTTGAACGCAAATGAATTTTTGTGAAAAACATTATTTCCGTCTCCTAACCTTTGTGTCATGTAAACAGTTTCAAAATACGAAAAAAATAAAATTTTTCTTGTGTGTTCTAGAATAAATCTTTTTATTTTCTTGAGGAATAATGAAACAAGTAAGGGATCATGGACTTTTAAAGAAATGACTTACTTTATTAATTATTAATTATATTTTATTTATAATATTTAGGGAAAGATTCGAGTTATTGTCTGGGCGCCCATCAATTGGCACCATTGTATGACTTTTTATTTATTCCAACTGTTTGCTAAATATGTCTAAAGGCGTAAAATCTAATAAGTTAGTATCATCCCACCCTTAATTCTTCCTAATTTTAAGTGTCCATGTCGTAATAATAAATAAAGAAAAAAAATATGCATTCGTAGTCAATAAATCACATGGTATTCGTATTGTTTGTTATTTATAAAGAATATATCGTAGTTTACTACCAATTGTCGAAATGAATGGATTTTTTAATATTATTGTGCATTTGCGAAACAAAATTGAAAATTTAACGTTGAAAAATCATTATTTGAGATTTATTTGTGATGAGAGTAAACAAAAATCTGTTTTTCTCCACTCCACACGTACACATTGAATATGAAACCATATTTTTGTTGTATGTTTATTTATTGTTTTTATTTACGTATCACTTAATGCTTTGAAATCATGGATCACAACATACGTTAACCTTTTTTTCGATGATATTGAATCGTATCATTTTACCAGTTTTTGATAGCGGCTTTTAAATTCATGCCATTTAAAAAAAAAAAAAAAAAAAGAATAAAGAATTGTAATGGGGTCTTTGGAACATCCGAAAACGGATTCAAAATATAAATAAATTGGGAACTTAAGAAAAAAAAAAAAAATTTTTTTTTTAATTTATATAGGTTGGTTTAACAAGATCCGCGGGCTAAAAACTGGTCGCGGCTTGTTATTTTTTTGAACCCCCATATTCCCAAATTAATTATTAAATTTACCTTAATCATATCTTGGCACAAATCATCGCCTTTTCCCCTCTCGATTTTCATCATTTTTTTTTTATCCATTTTTTTTTTCTATTTCTCCTTTCCACTTTTTTATGTTGTTCTTCCCGGCAAAAGTGGATTGTATGATTTATTCATTCCCTTTCCTCCCAACTAAAAAATCCAACTATTTACATCCGAAAAATCTTTTTTACCCTTTTTATTTTTAAACTATAAGAATCAAAATTTTATTATAATTAAGTTATGCCAGAATATTCACCTTTGGTCATTCTTTTTGTCTGCGCGCAGTTGATAAGCCTATCCTTGCTAGCCACCCTCATTTATATCGTAATAAAGACGTCTCCTTATTTAGCGAGGTCCATCTTTCAACTCTGCATTTGCATATTAATCACGGGCCTGTTAAGTTTACCTTTAATAATGATTTACGGAAACAGTTTACAAGAGAGAGGTTTTGACACCCCTCTGTGCGTAATTCAAAATAAACTCCTGGTATTCTTTTGTTTCCCTTTAAAATTGTTTCCGGCTACCTTGTCCATCTATTTATGGTTGGAAACATGCTTCAATTATCAAGTTGAAGACAAATACTTTTGGCATATTAGTGGAATGATATGGGGTCTAACGATATTAATAAATGGTATCGAATTGATAATTAGCAGTAAAGAACAACATTGGGGAGTTCAAACTGCCGTGTTGTCCTGTAAGCAAACTCCTTCGACCCACGTATGGTTGACCTACATCATTCCTACTTCCATCCTGGCCATTACGTCCATAATTATCACAGGTAAATGCAATGTTATTTGTCACGTGGGGAATTCTTCAATCATTAAAAATCCTGTCCTGTTATGACTCGTTTAATCATTAGTTCATTCCATATTGATTCTTTTGAGACGATGGCGTTGTCACAACCGAAATCAAAATCGTCACACAGCGATAACCCTCGGTGATGCCGCTAGATTAGCCGTTTTCAGCTTTTTCTATTCGTTGATGCTTTTGGCCTCCCTGATACCCTCAATTATCATGAAGATTAATCGCGATGATCCTTCAGGGGTCATTGACAAACTTACCTTCTCTGATTTTGCTTCATCTACCTAGTATGTATGATTTGGTGGTGTAAATAAAAAAATATATATATATATATTTTTTTTTTTTTTTCCTTCAATTTTAATTGATTTTTTCTTTACAGCGGTACGATCTTATTTATGATTTTCGGAACAACAAAAAAAGCCGCCCTCTTTCTTCCTTGCTGTTATTATTCTCCTCCAAAAGATCGTGCGTATATGCAAGAGCATGAGTCAATAGACCTACAACAATTTAATCCCGGAGGTAGCGGTTCATCGATAAAGCAACCTCCTTTACCGGACAGTCCAATAACTGATTCGGGTTTTCAATCCGTCTCAAGCAGGATTACGATACTTGAACAGCAAAACAACGTGATCTGATTACCCGACCGTAAATCATCAATTCATGAGAAAAAAGAAATTTTGCAAATTGGGTGTCTCAACGACTTCACCTTTTCTTTTTCTTTTTCCTTTATTTTTAAATACTTTTTTTTTAATTTTATAACAAAATAATAATAATAATAATAATAATACTGATCTTAAAAAAAAAAAAAAAAAAAAAAAAAAAAATTTCACAATTATTATATAGTCATTAGCATTCTTTTTTTTAAAAAAAAAAAATTAGAAAATCTCTTTTTTTTCAATTTCAAAAAAAATTTTTTTTTTCCTCATTTAACAATCATTTTAATTCCCGGAAACTTCCAGGTAGATTTTGAGGTTAAATGTCAAAAGTTTTTGGGATGGTACTTGCGCAATTACACGTGGAAATATATTTTTTTTACATTACGTGCAGTGTACAAGTATTACGAGATTAGATGATCATTAGATAATTTTTTTTTTTTTTTTTGTTTTATGATTGGAAATCCATCTAGAGGAGATAAAACGGGAAAGAAGTAAAAATTTAAAGTGTATAAAACATTTGTAGTAAATAAACAAATAATTTTAAATAGATTCTGTTCAAATTTATTGACAGTTACGGCCATACACAGTGAAAAGCACCGGAACCCGTCCGATCTCCGAAGTTAAGCCACTGATGGCCCAGTCAGTACTACGGTTGGGGACAACGTGGGAATACTGGGTGCTGTAACTTTTTTGCTTTTTTGTTTGCACGCGACAGTTCACGTGAACGTCATGATCGGTAAGTACTAATTTGCTAATTTTTTAATTTTACCCACTTTCCCATTTTTTTACTGGCAACGTCAACGCGTGTCGTTTACGCATTCGGCCTATAAAAGCGTCATAACAACAAACTTAAATTATTTAAAGTTTCTCTTTATTCCGAAATTTTCATTCAGCTTGTCCAACCAGTTTTCCCCATTTTTTACTTTTGATTTGATCTTGTCATAATTGTAAATAGACTAATATATTTATCCAAATTAAGGTAGATTATTATATATATTGGGAGTTTTTTTGATCAACCGAAATAATCAATTCTTTCCCTCTCCCAATACTTTTTCTTATAAAGTAAAATGTCATCAAAAGAGTGTATTACATGTGGACAAAACAAATCGTCGTGGAATTGGTGCTTCGAATGCGAACATCAAAGGTTTCGAGACAACTTTTTCAATTGGACGAGCGAGAATAAGTTGATCGATGATTTAATTAAAGAAATACAACTTTTATCGCGTTATCCCAAGGAGTATATCGAGTGGATCCCCTTTTCAGATTTTGAATTAATAAAATATCATGGTAAGGGTAGACATAGTACCGTGTATACCGCAACGTGGCTTCGCGGCCCTTTATATAATTATGACGTTTTAAGCGATGATAACACGAGATCCGGTCCTCAATTGATTGCCTTGAAGTCTCTCGATAATTCAAGAAATATTACTCCACAGTATTGTCGCTTGGTAGGTTTTATGGAGATTTCTTTATTAAAAAAAAAAAACTTTTTTTTTTTTTCTTTTCTGTTTTTACTTTCTGTATTTTTTTTATTTTTGTTTATTAAATAAAAAAAAGTTAATTAATTTCATTCACAGTTTTAATATTTGTTTATTATTTTAGTTGAAAGAATTTGTTCGTCAGACGTTTGAAGAAGCTGATGATAATTTCGAATGGTGTTATGGAATAACTCAAGATCCGGTGTATAAGGATTATATGTTGGTGATGTCTTTCGCGGAGGAAGGGAATCTTTATGATCACATTAAGAGTTCAACCATCATCACTATAGATTGGATGAAGGTAATTGAAGATTGTTTTGACCTAGCAAAGATGCTGAATGGGTTACACGACAGAAATTTGGTCCATGGGAACCTTCATGGGGGGAATGTATTGGCCAACGTTGAAGGATTCACGATTACGGATATGTGTCTTGGGCATCCAGCAGACGAGGTTCCATTCGCAAAAATTTATGGTGTCTTACCATTCGTCGCACCTGAGGTGATTAGCGGTGGGAGGTACACGATGGCATCTGATATTTATAGTTTTGGGGTCATAATGTGGATGTTGGGATCGATGCTATTACCTTTTGCTGATAGAGCGCATGATTTGGAACTTGCAAAGGATATTACAAACGGGATTCGTCCAACGATTGATATCTTCATGCCAGATTTATTTTTAAGTTTAATGAAAAGGTGTTGGAGTGATAGTGTTAAAGATCGTCCCACGTCCGAAGATTTAATTAAATCATTCGCCGAATGGAAATATGCGTTGAATAATTTCGATTATATTGATGATGAATATCCAGAGCATAAAATTATTACTCAAATCGAAGAGTTTGAGCACGTTTATGTGGATAACGACATCATTAGGGAGCACAACATACACGAAAAGGCGGTTTATACGAGTCAACTTATCGACTTTTGTTCGTTACGTCAGCCTTATCAGCAGAACGAATCTCCTATTGACAAGTTACTCAAAAGTAAGCTCGATGTTTTTTAATTTTTAATTTGATCCTTTTTTATTAATAAAAAAAAAAAGAACATGACAAGGATTTTTTGATAATCACTTTTTTTTTAAAAAAAAAAAACAGGTCATCTTAATGTAATACCGTATGAACAATTTGACCAAATCAAGCTGATCTCGCAAGGAGGATATAGTTCAATGTATTCAGCAATTTGGACGAAAGAAATCAAAGTCGCGTTGAAAATGTTTCGCGATTCTTCCGATGTGAATTATGAATTCCTCTCCTCATTACATTCATGTTTGAACTTACGACATTATGAAAAAGGACCGCAATATTATGGGATAACAAAAGATCCGATAACGCACAATTATATGATCGTAATGCAATACTTTGACGTAGATTTATACAATCAATCCTTTTTGGATTGGAGGGGGAAAATTCTTTCCCTGTTGAAGATATCGTTAAAGTTAAAAGAAATTCACGACCTTGGATTAGTTCATAAAAACCTTCACGGAGGAAATGTATTCACGATTGATGATGATAACAAATATGAATGGTTTATAACGGACACGGGGATAACTAAATCAACATATTGTCAATTGTACGGAGTGCTTCCATTTATGGCACCAGAAGTATTACAGTATAATAAGTACACACAATCTTCGGATATTTATAGCCTGTCGATGATAATGTATGTTGTCTTGACAGGTTTTAAACCATTTCACACTAAAATTCATGATAGTGATTTGGTCAAGAAAGTTGTCATTAAACACAGGAGACCAAAATTTTACTTTCCTGAAGAAGATATTCCAAACGATTATTTAAACCTTTTAAAGAAATGTTGGTCTTATTCACCTTCCCTTAGACCAGATATTAATCAAATCATAGATCTCCTTCAGGATTGGCTTACCCAATTAGATCATAGGTCTTCCACGAGAATTACTCAACAATTCTCAAAATGTGAGACATCTGGGCGTGCAAATCCACTCGATATTTATTACCTTGATGAGGATAGTTATTATAGCAAAGATTTGACTAATTGTCAACTTAACTTTTTATAATTAATAATTAGGTAAAAGATTTACCTTACATTTACAATATACAAATACATTATTTTTTTTTCAATCTCTTGAGATTACAACATTTACCATCTATCTAATCTTATCCATTTAACCATTCATGCTGTAATGCCATTTCTGCGGTGAAGTTCTTCTTTGCAGCATCAAGCAAAAAATTTTTAAAGTGAATAAATTGATCTGAATAGTAATACCATTGTGATGAATCTTTCAAATCTTCAAGAAGTCTCCCAACTTGGTAAATATCATAACACGCGAGATACGGTTTGCCAGTTACAGCTTCTTCGGGCCAACGATTCCAAAGGGTAATTTGTAATATTTCGTTAATCGGTCCACCTAATTCCAGATCGATTACCAGCCATTCTCCATTATCCTGCCTTAAAATATTCCCCCAATATATATCCCTGTGTGTCCAATTAGCTTGATGCATGTCACCGAGAACTTGTAAGATCGTTTTAATCGCTGATTTGATCTCAACTTCACTCCTTGGATAATGATAATGACCCACAGGATGTAGAAAAATCAAACAAATTCCATCCCTAGTTAAAGTTGGATGGGCGAGTTTACCTTCTAAATCCACACAATGAACTAGATTTTTAATATGAGAAGTTCCCGAATAAAGTTCTCTTAAATTCTCGAAATCAAACCTTTGAATCCTTTGCGTTAACAAGGATTTTCTTACAAAGTTACCCATGAATTCTATCGTCGTGTTTCCGTCACGATTATATGAGAGATATAAGGGATACGTAGGTTTGTCAATCATATATTTTGACCAATTTCGTTTAATCGAATCGAGAACGCTGTAAATGTTGATCACGGTACGAATGATTTGCAATCGATCCAAAGTTTTATCCATGTCAAAATCTTGAGTAACTTTGGTGATTTTGTTTCTTAAAGGGTCAAACGCGTACCATCTTAATTTCGAACCTCTCGAAATGTAAATGAATTTAAAAGGTAATTGAGAGTAGTAAATATCTTTCCAATGAATTTTATCAAATATACGTTGTAATCCAACTTCCCAATCGATATTTTCGGGTAATTCCTCTCCATGAATTAAGAGATGTTTGTTAACCCAACACATCCAACTTGGTCTTGATAAATCCTCTTGTGATTTAATAAAATTTCTTGCCATGAACAACCATTGAGACCTGTCCATTTGCAAACAATTGAAAGTTCCTTGAATCAACATATCAACCATATGAATATAACTATTCAGATCACTCTCTTGACAGAACGAATTGAAATCACGTGGATATATCAAAGCATTGATAAATGGTAGTGAAATTGACGAAATCGAGATGATGTTCCCACCCTCATCTGAACATTGATTTTGAGGTATAATGAATGAATTTATTCGGGGATCATTCTCGTGACGACATGACGGAACCGGAACTCTCATTGGTAACGGAGTAGAAAGGAATCTTCTCAAGTCATATATCGAAGGAACTTTATCGAGTTTTCTTGAAATAAGTTGTTGAAATGAGTTCTTATTATTGATTGAATTGACTTGATTTAATAAACAAAATTTTTTTTCTTCAAGACAATTAATGTTAAGTAAAGCTAAAAAAAAAAATTTATTTTTTATTTTTTTGATAAAAATAATCGATTTACATAAAATTTATTTATTTATTACCTTCAGGTTCACAATATTCATCATCATTATAAGATCCTGATGTGAAATCAAAATAAATTAACGAATAGAAATTTTTTTTTTTTAAAAAAAAAAAAAAAATCTTTTTTCTTACCGTGTAAACGTATAATTTCAGCTTCTAAATGTAAAACCAATAATCCCGAGATTTTCATCTTATAGAAATCGTATCTTGTCATTTTCAAAAAAGTTTTACCGTCAATTTGTTGTTCACGAAATTTACGTACTAAATCTTTATTGAATAAATTTTGATGACAATATCCATCTACGTTAAACATGACTTGTAAATGTTGTGCAAGTTGTTGGGTGTTCCATTTTTTAACCGTATCGACATTAACCGTTGGGAAGCTTAAAGGATTCCAATATGAAAAAAATTCCCTTTTTGTGACTTTTATTTTTTTTTTTTTAAAAAAAAGAGTTAAAAATTAAAAAAAAAAAAAAAACCGATAAAAATAAAATTTACATTTTTTTCACTTACGACTATTTTTATTCAAGTTCCTTGTATTGGCTGTCATTGGTTGAGTGAATCAAATGTATCAGAATCAGAATATTGGAGCAACCAAAATTCAAAGTATTTATAATAATATCTCGCTGTTCAAAAGTTTTACTTGTAACCGATAAACAAATATCTTTGAAACAAATTCATAAGCCACGCATCAACCATTTTGCTAAGCCATGTAATCCTTTTTACATTGAAAAAGTTACTAAGCCCATGTAAAAATTTCACGTTTAAAAAAAGGTTCTTATGCGCCATTGTTTTCAAAATAAAAATTTGGATTTACATTTTTTAAGATGTCATTTTCATCTTGAAATGTTCACCGCGCCAAGTTTCTTTATTTACATTCATGGAATGCTAAAAGTAGGTTTGGAACGATGAATCTTCTTTTCATCGTGAAACTCTTACCGTGCCATTGATTTTTTGCTTTTAAACATACGTGGAATGTATAAATATTAAGCCCCTAACCCTAGATTCAGATGTTTATTAGATGATGAATTGTGTTCATTTTCTGCGCCACGTTTTGCTTTGCTTGACCTGATTCGGATTTGTATTCGACGATGAATCCCTTATTTTGATCTTTTCTTTTTTTTTTTTTTTAACTATTGTCAAACTACAATATTATATATTACAAGGAGAATGTTTCAGAATTTTCGAATTGATTTCACTAGCCCAATACTCTAATTATTTACATGAATACTTTGTGAATAACGGGTTTATCAAGACCTGATTACAATCAGGAATACATTTAATTAATATACATTATGAATCTAATTTAATGTAGATGAGATCTTAACGATGAATATTTTGGAACTTTAGAATTATTTGTATCCCAAACAAATGAATTACTTAATACTTTTTTGTTCAGAACATTAATGACTACGTACTTCCATTACATTCTCGGTTTTGTAACACAATCAACAGGGTTATTACGTAAGGAGACATGAAAAAAAGATTTTTTTTTTAATTGATACCGTTTCAAAAAGGTTAGATATCTTAAATTTACCTATTACCTCGATTTATCATTTCCCGAAGTACGGGCGTCTCTCACGTTTCTCAACCCCCTTAACCCCCTCGTAGATAATAGATGACCTGATTGGCCCGATACCCTCATATGTTATTATGTTTATTTTAGATCGACCGGCCAATAAAAAATATATCGTATCGCGCATAAATTGTCGCATAATCAATGCATATATAAATTTTTTTCCGAACGGAATTTTCTGTTTTCGGTTTTTTTCTTTAAACATTTTAAAATGTATGTTTAAATATATATCTAATATAATATTTCAAAATATTAAATGAATGAAATAAATAGAAAATGGCTTCAAAATTATATTTAGAAATCTTACAAAACATTTTCAAATATCATAAAGATGATATCGAAACGTTACATTCTATATTACTTGTTAATCGATTATGGGCGAGGGTTGTAATAGAAATTTTATGGAGAAATCCATTCAAATTTGCTCACATCAAAATATTTCAACCGAAAATTTATTACGTTTATAAGGCCTACAAGGAATTATTAAATATTTATCGACATTTCATTGATGATGGAGTCAAGAAAGAATTACTTTTTGATTATCCTTCATTTTTAAAGACTTTAAATTGGAAATATTTAAGATTTGAAGAAGATGGTATTCAATTATTTAGCATGTTCATACAAAGGAGCGCAAGGATAACAAAATTAAAGATCAATGATCTATCAAGAGGGAATGAGAGACTTTTTTTCATTGACCATGACCTTGTACAACGAATAACACCTTTATCACGAATCGATTCTTTGAAAATTAATAATAAAAATCCTTCATATTTTAAGATATTTTCGAATTCTTTTAAAAATCTTAATACCATCATTATAGATTGTTACTCTTCTAATCATAGGGAACTTTCTAAATTTATAAGAGTTCAAAAAAATTTGAAGAAATTGATCATTAAGAGGGAATTCCCTGATATAGAAGAAGGAATAAAGTTTCAATCGAATTCTGTTACTCATGTTAAACTCGCTAAAAGAAAATATTTATGGAAAAGCAATTCGTTAATTAATTTACAATATTGTATAAATTTAGAGCAATTGGAATTTTCTAATTGGAATTTAGATAATGAAGATTCGCAATTACTTTTAAGTATGAACTTTCCAAACCTCAAATCTTTAATTTTTGATTACTCTACAGTAGATTATGAGGATTTAATTAGCATAATTAAAGTTCACAGATCAAATTTGAAATATTTGTGTTTTAATGATTGCATATTAGATCATGATTTAAAAGATTTATCAAATATTATTAACCAATTTTGTTCTCAATTATCAACCTTTAGATTTCAAACGCATTTAAAATTTTCGAGGAATTGTAAGCATTCAATAATTAAAAATTTAAAAGATTTCATATTAAAGTTGGAAATTTTCCAATTGGAATTTTTAGACTCAAATAATTTAGATCGGTCTTTTCTTGAGTTTAAAGCTCCGTTTAATTGGAAAAGCATTATGATTAAGTTTAATATTATAGCATAAAACTTATCTTTTATCACTTATATAACGCTTTAAGGTTAATTTTACTAAAATTTGATTAATTAATCAAATAATATGTCAACATTTTAATATTAATTATTAATCATTAATTATAAAAGATAAGATCTGTAAAGTAAATAAATGTCTACCATTTTTTTTAATATTTTGATTTACTTTTTTATCTAATTATAAAATTTTAACATGAATTTATGATGATTCATAATATGATAATTAGGCAGTTATATTTTAATAAATTTGGTAGTTTGCAATTTATTGAAGTTATAGAAATAAATTGTTGTGTAGGATTTTAAAAATGGAGAATAATGTTA